ATTCACATAGAACAAATCTGGAAAAAATGAATAGAGGTCTGACAATAACTTTTTATTACCACCATATACTTTTGTAAATTATTTCATACGGCACATAATTATTGAAAACTATATTCATTGAAAATTTAGGTTATGGTTGTAGCCAATTAACATATCATGTATAATATACTCCATTTTTCCAGTTCCAGTATTACCAGCTGATGATCACACATGAAATAATATGCTCTATAGTTTTATGTTTGAAGAGACATGTTTACAAGTAGAATAGTTTAAAAAGATTTTTAAAGAAAATAAAAATATTAGAAATATAAGAAAAATAATGTTAAAATGTATAGTTACCAAAATCTCTGATAATGCTTCCTGGTTTGATGAAACACGTGAACGCTATTTACACCGGATTTAAATGTTGAAATTGGTGATTAAGATACTGCTTCAGAACACATTAGCGTCTTTCAACAAAGTTTCAAAGCAACAGATTTTCAACCTGATTTCTAGTCTACCCCATTGCGTGTACCTTTTCAGAATTCATGATATTTTTAACAGAGCCAAATTACATGTCTTTATATTTCTATATTTTTGTCCAGTAGAAGCGGATAAAGCAACGAAATTCATGGTAAAATGGTTTTTAAGAATACCTTTAGTATTCATTTTGTTGCTAATCAATCTATATTAATGAAATAGACAAATAAAAACGATAAGGACAAAGGGATCATGCGTATAAAAACAATTGTGGTTTGGAATGTATGAGTTTTGTACATCACTAAAAATATGAAATTACTAAGAAACAAAACAAAAAAGGAAGTCAAATATTCAGGGATCCAACAAATTCTATTATTCATTCAAAAATTTGTGCTTATTTGTGTGGTGCACGTTCACTTGCATTTGATGCTCTCCCAAGACTTTACCCACGAAGTCTTCGAATAATTTTACTAGTCGCATATCCGGACTCACAAAAAATTTTATTTTTTTTAATACTCCGAAAACTTCGTTTACTATCTAATTAATCGGATTCTCTGCATAGTGACTAAAACCGAATACGAATAGAATGGAATAGAACCACTACTATGAACTGCTCAAAATTTGTTGAATGAAATTATTGGCAATTTAAACACTCGAAACTTCCAAAATCAAAAATTTGTGACGTTGTACTACTTGTCATACGTTAGAAGAAGATTGTTGGGGAGTATCGTTAGTACTGATTAATTACTTCAATTGAAGGGAGAACAGTTTTAATCTAATATCAATTTACTTGTTATTTTCACTATCCGTCACTTTGAATAACAATTTCATACTACGCAAATAGTGCACTGCGCCTCAATTTGGCCATCTACGCATTCTTAATGAGAAGTGGAACAACCACGAGAAACAGCACCAGTCCTCCTACTGTTTTTACGTTACTATTTGATATGTACGTCAATATGTACGTCATCATCAATATGATGATGAGATGACACAATAGGAAGGAGCAGCGACTTCTTATGGAAGTTAGTGTAATAATATCTTAATAACTTTTATAATAACTTAAAAACATAATTTTGAAATTATTTAAAGATTCTCTATCTATGAAACCCGGTCAACAACACCTTTCAATACTAGCCTTAGTCCTTGGTGCAACTATAATGCGCGGACTGCCTCAGCAACAAGGGAAAAGTCCACTAGTAGAGCTAGTGATGGTATTGTATCTCTAATTAAAAAAAATTTAGCACAAATTATCGAAATAAGCGAAACAAATTTGTGGATTTTTAGCTTTAATTGTATTAATACTTTTAATTTTATTTTAGGCTCATTGTATATTAAACCACATTATGATATAAATATTGCCTTAGAGTTGCTTCAACCATTAATTGATGGTAAAATTATGTTCGAATTCATAAAAAATAATGGCTTTATTTTGCTTAATGGTTGCACAGACGGTGACATCCCAGTAAGTTTTACATATTTAAACAAAAATAGTAACAGTGTTATTGATTTAATCTTGGTCAACTTCGCTGCAATTCCATTTATAAAAAGCCTAGAAGTACAAACACTTGCTTCTGGCTCAGACCATTTTCTGGTAATCTTAAAACTTGAATTCCCTTCTGGCACTAGCAATATAAATTGTACAAATGTAACTTCTTGTAAGCAAACCAGATCAAATTAGGATATAAATAGGTCTGCTATTTTTAGAATGCACATGAACAGCTGTCTTAAATAATTGAATATGAATCATCACTTTTCTTCTTTATCCGACGACCAACAAAATGATCTAATTATAACACTATACAAAAATCCGCTCAAACATCAGAAATGGTTATAGCTAAGTTCTTTATCCCTCCTTACTATACTTCTAGCCATGCCCTAAAAAAGTACAAGCGACAAAGCTTTTAATCTGAAACTAAATCGGTATACATTGATTCAAAAGCTAATTACAAAAAAATGCTGTCTGAAATAAGAACGGAATATGAAATCAAGGTCAAAAATAAGTCCTTTAACATAAAAAGTTCGAAAGACTTTTGGAATCTTATTAAATCGTACAATCGAAAACCTTTTGTCAACAACCACATACCCAATTCTGTTTGGTAAAGCTTCTACGAGCAAATTTATCCACCTCATCCTATCATTGAACATATACTGTCCGAAAACTACAGCGAAGCGCTGGATTCGGGAATAACAATAATTAAAATAAAAACAGCAATAAATAAAATCAAAAGCATAAGGCTCCAGACGAAGATGCGATCACGGCAGAGTTCTTTAAGAATTTATCTAGTCAATGGATGTATATCCTACAGTCTGTATTCAATAATATTCTCTTAACTGGAAGCACACCAGCTTCTTGATCATGGTCCGTTCTTGTTATGTTCCACAAAAAAGGTGATATAGACTCATCCGAAAATTATAGAAGCATTCCTCTATGCAGCATTATCTTAAAAATTCTCACCCATATTCTGCATGATCGCCTCTTGCCATGAGTGAAACAACACAATAAAATTCCTGAGTCGCAAAATGGGTTTAGAACTGAAAGATCATATACTGATAATATTTTTACTCTTCAAACAGGAATTCAATTACATCTACGTCTAAAAAGCAACTCTGCTTACGGACTTTTTATTGATTTCAAACGGGCATTTGTTCTATTGACTAGATGTTGCTCTGCCAAAAACTTCATTCGCAAGGTATAAGTTCGCGCTTAATTAAAATTTTCCAGTCTATTTACGACAAGCCATCCTTTAACAAAAAGACTTCGATCCTATCTCTGTTACCGAAGGCGTTCTCCAAGGGGAAATTCTCAGCCCTCTTCTTTTCATATTGTTTATTGCTGATCTTGAGAAAGAATTAAGGAATGCAAATACTGAAGGGATCAATATTGACGGTTTACATTATATTTTGATGCTGCTTTTTGCAGATGACGCCATTGTTCTAACCCCTATTATTTTGCGAAAAAATTTATTGGTACTTGAAAGCTACTGCGAAAAAAACAAGCTTGCTGTAAACACGGAAAAACCCAAATTGTCCACTTTAGAAGAGCAGGAAGACCAATAGCAGAAAATTTCCTTCACAAATGTCACAAAATTTCTGTCGTGAAGACCTACATATATTTAGGAGTAAATTTCTCAAGCTCCACATTAGAAAAGGGAAAATGGCGCTCGGTACGGCAGCACAAACTATTAGTAAATTTAAATCAGATTTTTGCGAAGGTCGGGCTAAACTATTTGACTGCACTGTATCTGTAACACTTTTATATGCATCAGAAGTGTGGGGTCTACGATACTGTGATTCACTAGAAATCGTTCAGTCAACGTACTACAAACACTTGTTAGCACTCTTCTAAGCTACAAACAATGCAGCACTTAGACTTGAACTAAGCCTAGTGAAAATTTCATATAGAGTTTTCAAACGCGCAATCGATTTCATTATACGAATTCTTCAAATGGATCAATCAAGATACCCCAAACAATGTCTCCTTCGTCTCATTTACCTACCTACAATTCTTCTACAAGTGAATTTAATTGGGTTACACAATTTAATGAGTTTCTTAAAGTTGTAAATATGACAAACTTGTGGGAAACATCGACTGCAGCAACTTGGATTGCTAACCGAACTACGGCTCTTGAACGCTATCAAAGATATCTAAAATTCAAAGACATTTTAAAAGCCATCAACTCACAGTCCATGAATTGCAATATATTAAGAGCCGTTGATGACAATCTTGCCTGTTACCAAAGATCGTAAGCAATTTTTTATGCCAAAGGTTATCGCCCAATTGCGGTTGCCAACAACTCACTACACTCATTTTTGTATTAACGGGCAAATTCACAGACTCGAAATCAACAACCTTTGTACACTTTGTAATTTACAAACTGAAGAAACGTTGAATCACTTTATTTACTCCTCAGTACGAAATCACCATCTTAGTTTTATACTTACAGTTTTCAGAGATAATAAATCTTTAATTTTCAACTGCATCGCTTACCTTTTAAACGTAACTATAAGTATACATCAAACCTCCTTCTGTTACAACTCTAAGTTTAGAAGCAAAAGTAAATACTCGTACATGGTGAATTGAAAAATTGAAAAATATTTAAGGATTCTGAAGACTAGCCAAGTGTCATAGTAGTTTTCAATAAACACAATTTTTTCCTTTCGTCATAAGACGCGTAACACTCGACGCGTCTGCTATCATTTAATAATGTTATACTCTTGCATCATACGCTAACATCTCGAGTTCTACATATAAACTGAATTATTAAATTACAGTTTAAGACTAGTTTAGAAACAGCATTAAGTGAAAGCTTAAATTAACCCAGCATGTGTGTTGTTATTATATAGTGGCTATCCTTGCTAACATTTGTAGAATATTTGCAGATAAATAATTGAATTACTGTCTTTTTCAAATATATTATCAATAAGTACTGGATAATATGTATTGGATAATGACTTTCTACTCACGAAAAAATAATGTTTTCTGAATTATCATGCTAGATAATACATTTTATATTTCAAAATATCTCAAAATTACTCACCTCCACAATAGTCCTTGAAATCATCACAGCAATCACCTAGTTTTAAACATGCATGATCGCAGTAGCATGGTTTATCGCTGAGATCCTCAATAACGGCATTAATCGGTACCTTTTGAACTACGCACGAAGAATCACGGCCGCTGCAACACAGTTGCGCTTCTCGGCAAGAACCCGATGCCACTGGTTGGAGCAACATTAGAAGTGCTATGGGCACTAACAGGAAGTACAATGGCAAAAGAGGAAATGCTGCTGAGCGTAAAAACCTCTCAACTTGCATTCGCTGGTAGACCATTATACCTGTAAGTGCACTTGAGGACTTTGTTGCGGTATTAGTTGACGTCGATGGCCGTGATATGTACATTTTGATATCTCCGATTTGCAACTTAATACACATCATGTAATAATGAAATTGTTAACTCTACTCTGAATTTTATGCAATAATTTATTTTATACTCATATAACGTATATTTTTGGACTCAATTTATCGTGGTTGCGTTTTCTAGTTTTTCCGTTTATTTATTTATTAAATGAAAGAAAATTTTGTCATTCTAATAAACTAATAAACTAATTCAATAATTTTAAATTTCTTGCACTTTTAGAGGGATAATAAAATATTTAAAATATTCAAAAATGTAATGTCAAGAAGAGTATATATATAGAGAAGAGAAGTATATGTAAAAGTAATTGCAATACAAAATTATTATCAAGATGAAACATAATGTCAACTAACTACAGAAGTTTTTCAACCTTATAGTAATATACACCTTGAAATAATCATCTATAGATCATTGGACATATTTTTGAATCTAGAGACTATTCGTAAAATCCGATTGATTATAATTTTGCATACGCTTTATATTAATAATTAATACATTATTTGCGAAATAAAGGAAAATATTTCAAAAATAAATGGCAATGAATTTTTAATAGAGAATAATAGTGCTAGCCTAAAAGAGTTTTTCGATGAAAAATAACATTGCAACCGGCAAAATAGTTTAAATTGCTGAAATTCGACTTTTATTTATTTTATACTTTTAAAAATGAGGTTCAATTGTATGAAATCCTATAAGAGTTCAGATGTCAAATTTACGAAACATTGAAGAATTGAAAGCACAATTTTAATTTTAGCTCAATATTTAATGATTCATATTAAATTTTGGCAAACGACACTCACCATTTTACATGTCCACAATGACAAATATTACTAAACGTAAAAAAATAAATAAAAATATTTGCCGAAATAAATCAGTATGATTAGTAAGCAAACAAAACAAAGAATATAAATGGACTTCAAATCGCGAACGTACTCACAATGGCACTCATTGAGGCTTGTCTACGCAAAAAAATTAAAATTGAATAAATATACAGGCAATTGGATTGCAATAACTAGCGAGGGTATTTACGAAGACGGAAACTCACTCCATTCATAACAAAGCCAAAAGCAATTACTTCCCGTTAGTTCCCGTTAATGTCAGAGAAAACTCTAATTTAACAATTCAACTTTCTTAATCACTACATTATTCCTAGCAGCAGCTCAGATCGTTCATTAGACGAAAATTGGTTTAGGAAGCGTACTGTAAGTTCTTGAAAATAAACAGAACCCAAAGCATAAAAACATCGCATTAATCAGGTTAAAATGGTCAATTGTAAAAAAGTAAATATTTTTATAAATAACACTCCGAACAAAGGACAGGACATTGATTAATGATGTCGAAATAACACAACAATAACCGAACAGAGAGCGACCATTCGTATTTGATTGAAGCGGAACCCGGAAAAGCGGAGGAGCACTTAAGTTTCCTTTAAATAAATATCATTATTTTAATTTTTTTTATCACTTTCAATAAATTTTTTTGAGTTGAAATATCTGTCGAAGTATGCGATTTAAAAAAATTAATTAAACACAATAACACGTTTGAGCTGTGATGAATAATTTTTCACCGCGCTTACAGCAATTAATATTTGCTTGGAGCTAATCTATTGTCTACCATCAGTGCGTATATCAATATATTTCCGCAAAGACACTTTTCTAAATGCACGTCAGAATGTAATTTCTACTCTAAGATGAATCCGCGATTGATTTTGCATAGCCCGCGCAAGATATGGCCCCACTTTCACTTCAGGTCTAAAAGAGACTGTCGGAGTCAACTTCCTTTTGGTGTACAAATAGTTTCAACAGGAGAATACAGTTGTTTAACTCTATTCTGCTATGGTTTGCAGAAAATAACTGAAGAGAATCCACCACTCGCATTGTTGTGCAGATATTGAGCGGAATTAGTCGGCAAGTGACATGCGCTGAGTATGTTTTGAGTGAAAACCGGCTTTTCTAAGTTCATCATTAAATAACTACCATGCGTTCCTTTGTTCGCATGAAAAGGTTCGAATGCTCGCGATTTGAAGACAACTTATCAATAATCGAATTTTCTTACATTGTAATATAAAAATATTTTCAACATCATTTCTCATCACATTTCTCAATAAAGAGGTACTTAAAATGCCTCTTTATACTTAATTACGAGTATTAATATAATGCCAACCTGTAGCAATATACAGTCAGGGACAAAAGTTAAATACACCCTTAAAATTCAGAATTTAAAAAAAAATAAATATGTTATGCAATTTTATTTCATTCCATTAACATAATTAATAATAATAAAAACAAAATTTGTTTACTTTATTGCAAGCATAAATGTTAATTTAACAAAAAAGAAAAAATTATGCGCACAGAAGTTTAAAAACACATGCAAAAATTATGTGTAATGCAAAGAAGTTGACATTATTTTCCATTTCTGTCGCCTTTATTTCAGACCAGGCTTTTCTGAGAGCTCCTATCGGTGAATCCTTGCAACTTGTTTCATTGCATCTTTTTCTCATAACTCCCAAAACATGCTTAATAAGATTCAGGTGATTAAGGACGACTATAAAGCTGTCGTGAGAGAAAAACATAGTAAAGTATTCATTCTTTTACTGAAAAGGCTGTATTCTTAGGATCGTTGTTCTGTTGAAAAATCCAATTATGCCAAAAACTTTTGTCCCTAACCGTATGTATATATGTATGTACTACTAAATTACAAAAAAACAAACAATAATCAATAAGTGAAAATTGGTGACCAACTTTTACTCAGAAAGTTTGTTTTCAAATGTTACTTGGAGTATTTATTAAAAGAATATGGATTGTTTCTAATTAGACGTTATAGGTACTTTGCATGTAAACTCTGGTTATTTTACATTATTATTTGTTACCTAGACCACCAGTGAGAAGAGTATTGAATATATGCTGTTGTCTATTAGTATACTATTCTAAATAATATCTCTGATCTAAAATGAGTTTTGCACATGATAAATGCACTGAGTTGACTTCCAAACCAAGTAACGGATTATCTGTTGTCAAGTGCAATAAATTTTTGCATAAAAAACTACTGTTAAATGAATTATTTTTATTTTATAACTAACTGACCCGGCAAACGTTGTTTTACCTCCAGCTCAAAAGAGATATAATATTTGTTGTAATTTCAATATCTGTGTAGATAAAGAGATTGTCAGGTTTGTTCATTTCAGAAGCAGTCAATGTCTTAAATTGAATCGCACAGTTCTAAGGATAAAGTCTGAGCTCTGTGAATAGTGTTTGTAAATACCAACTCAACCTTTAGCATTTTAATACGAAAATTATTTTCAACTATTGTTTTTATTTTTTGAACTGCAAAAAAATAAATATGCACTACTTACGTTACGAATTTTTTCATGATATTTCCAATCCTTACTACCACATTTCTAGTGAGCGGACGTGTCGGTCTCCGAAAAAGTTAAAAGTTAATTAATATAAAAACACAAAATGAATAAAATTATCGATAAAAAATCAATTCCAAAAGTGAAAAGTGCATAAACGATTAATTTGAAAATAGCGCGCGAATTATATTTGATTAAAAAAAACACACGAAACTTAAGTTTGATGCGTACTTTATTGAATGAATCTTAAGACTAACTTAAATCTACTTTTGTTCGTCCTTTTATAATATCGATTTGGCACAGCAAATCGCGATAATAAATTACAATTATTTACCTAGGACTATTTTAGTTTAGTTATCAATATATTTGTGCTTGAGATAACTAAACTAAATACTTTTACTAAATTATCTCTTCTAATGAGTCGTTGTGTGTGTTATTAAGGTGATGGTACATAACTCGCGCTTTTTTGGATTTTTGTTTATCTTCTTTTTAAACTTAAATGCTCAAATAGCTGACAGAGACAGCAGATCAACATATAAATTTAAAAAATAATAAAAAGTTTAAGAACATAAGTGCTGATAGAGATAGTTATTATTCCATTAAAAACGAGTTCCACAAAAGCTAACACAAAGCTAAGCCTACAATACCACACAACACAAAACGCCATAACACAATACAACATTGCACAACACAATACGGTCTGCACAACTGGAAACATTGTAATTTTATTACTCTTATTTAATTAATTATTTATATTTATTTATTACAATATAAAATATAATATACATATTTAATTTTTTTTTATCTTTTCTTTATTATTTTTTATTTTTTATATCAATTTAATTTGATTTATTTATATTAAATTTAATTTTAATTCACCTTATTTCAATAGTAAAAAAAAATAAGTAAATCTTATAGCAAAACAGCTATTTGCATACAAAACCACGTATGCAAATGAGTAATTCAAATCCTCCCCCAGAAAGAAGACATACAATTAGCATTCCAAACAAACGTAATGCTTCTCTAGTAATAGACGCATCAAATAAGTTCCCCCAGAAAACTACACAAACCGATAAAAGCTTACCAAACATTGAATCTTCAGCAGCATCGCCTGTATTTCCCAACTTAACGAGTCCAAAAAATAAAAATAAAATCCAAACAGGCATGGAACGCTATGTCAATATTAAAAGAAAAGGCAATTTAAGAGGTACTAAATAAACAAAATTTACAAAGATAGTGCACCCACAAATATACTTTCGGGCAATAGATTTGCTGAACTAGCTGAATCTATAGAGGAAGCTAGATCAACAGCCTACTATTAAAAAGTTTAAGCCCCCTCCAATTTACCTGCGTGAACGCAGTTCAAATACCCTGGTTACACTTCTAGCACGCCTGATTGGTAACAATATTTTTCATATTGGTCCTTTAACCAGGGGCAATAAACACGAAACTAAGATACATATTGGCACTGAAAATAATTTCAGGGTCATTACCAAACACTTCGATGACAGCAGCAAAAATTACTACACACACCAACCGAAGAGTAGTAAAGGCCTTGTTGTCGTTATCAAAGGTATTGAGTCAAATGTAGAACCCATTGAGATAAGAAATGCCCTAAGCGAAAAAGGCTTTAGCGCTAGAGCAGTTATAAACATTGTTAACAAAGATAAAATCCCACAACCTATGTTTAAAGTTGAACTTAACCCGGAAGCTTCTCAGCTTAAAGAAAATGAAAGCCATCCCATCTACAACCTGTAATACTTACTTCACCGCAAA